CTGGAGGGTAGGTGGTGGGAGCAGTGTGGGGTGGGAGCAGATGGGGTTAGTGCTGGGGGTCTGGGTGGGGTTAGTGGGTGGGACAGGTGGTGGGAGCTGTCTGGGGCAGGGTGGGGTTAGTGGGCAGGAGCAGTGGGGGGTGGGGGCAGATGGGGTTAGTGCTGGGGGTCTGGGGGGCAGGCAGCAGGAGCAATGGGGGGCGGGGCGCTGGTCCTGCCCCATGGCTCTCTCCCCCCACCAGTGCGGTCCCAGGACCCCGGCCAGCGGCGCATCCTGGACCGGGCCACCCGGCAGCGCCGCCTGAACCGCCAGCTGGAGGCGCTGGAGAACGACAACTTCCAGGACGACCCCCACGCCAACCTGCCCCAGCTGGTGAAACGCCTGCCCCAGTTCGACGACGACGCCGAGACAGGTGCGCCCGGAGCCCCCCCAGTGCGCCAGGACGCCTGGGTTCTCCCCCTGGCTCTGGGAGGGGAGTGGGGGCTGGTGGGTTAGAGCAGTGGGGCGCTGGGAGCCAGGACTCCTGGGTTTTCTCCTTCGCTCTGGGAGGGGAGTGGAGGCTGGTGGGTTAGAGCAGGGGGGCTGAGAGCCAGGACTCCTGGGTTCTGTCCTCGGCTCTGGGAGGGGAGTGGGAGCTGGTGGTTAGATAAGGGGTGGGGGCTGCTGTGGGGGATAGATTGTGGGGCTTTGGACCTGGGGATGGGGCCCACAAATGTATCCTGGGGGGCCAGACCATTGAGAGTGGGGTTGGGGGGGCTCACTCGTGTGAGGGGGACTCTGCCCCAGGGTATGGGGGGTAGGTCTCTGAGGGGGTCTCTGTCCCAGGCGTGGGGGTCTCGGTGTCTCTCTGACCCAGTGGTTGTCAACCTAATTATCGATGTGTTACCTTGAGAACCACAGCGCCCCCCCCAACCTGCCCCCTATGCCCAGTGCCTCCCACCCACAGACCCTTTCACAGTGTAGGGCCAGGAGCGGAGCGCCAGGGACCCCGCCCCCACGGGGCCGGCTGGCAGCCACTGCACTGCTCAGCTGGGAACCCGGCCCCCCCACCCCGCGGCTGGCCCCCCGCTGGGTGCTGCGTGGGCAGCGGGTTTGAACTGCGGCTCTGCCCCCCACAGGGAAGAAGAAGAAGAAGACCCGGGGAGATCACTTCAAACTCCGCTTCCGGAAAAACTTCCAGGCGCTGCTGGAGGAGCAGGTACGGCCGGTCCTGGGGTGTGTGTGTGTGTGTGTGTGTGTGGCGTGGG